GGTAGGGGGAGTAAAAAAATGGCATTGATAATTCATCAAGATGGTGTCACTTGCAACTATGGATATACTTAAAAGCTTTGCAAGATCCAATTATCTATACAATGTGGTTTACTTGTTATGCCAAAAGCATAAATGAAATAAAAGGGAGCTCTTAACTCTCCACAAAGGGTTTTCACACCCTGATATGATACTATTTTTTTGAGAAGGAGATGATACTATTTTCCCCTCCAAATTAACCAGAAAATACAAAAAGATCAGCCTTCATATATTTTTTTAAAATGTGAACTTGCATCCTGAGTTGACTAGGAAGGTTTCTACAGTTCAAGTTGACAGAGTGTTGGCAAATAGAATGTATCGAAGTTTTCATTTAGCCAATCTCTCTTTGCACTACTCAACTAGCCTCTGAAGCAGTTGAAAAGTCCAATGATTCGATACGTTCATATCAATAAACTTAAGTTTCAGAGCATAGAATCTCCTTTTCCTATTAACCATTAAATTACCTAGAAGGCTCAAACCCTAAGTGAAGCTTTCCTGAAGCTAAACTTATTGTTCTCATTGTTGATAATATCAGCATGGTGCCCCAATCCTCCCCTTTTGGTTGGGCGTAAGGGTCATCGAAATTGAAAGCCTCAAGGGCTTAGTTTTGTGGCTTCTTAAAAGAGACTGAAGGAAACATGCTAATGGTTGAGTCTTGTATGAGTGACTGAGTTTTCACCACCAAAGAATTCGCCCAAGATCCTATCAAAACTTCTTAGCCTCTTTGATATTACAGGTTTCCGTAGTTTTTACTGATTCTCCAAAATGAATAGATGCTCACTAAAGAGGTTCATGTTTTTGTATATTTTTGGAGCGCTATACGCCAACTTGTAGAGATGACTGGATGAATTTTGTTAAAAGACTAGCTTGTAGAATTCTTTAATGGTGTATACTCATGAACTGGTTATTGGTTAATCCATTTTCCCAGTAAAAGTATTACTTGAAACTTTTTTGTTTCTGATAACCATGCTTGTGTTGGTCTGCTATGTTCTGAACTTGCATTAGCTTCTGAGATTACCTCCACTGGGTAATGCTTTTGCCATTTTGTGTTTGGTTTTAGGCAGCAGGTGACATCAGTCCCTTCAATAGAGGAAGAGAAAGCACAGTCTGGGGAGTTTCTCTGATGATAGGCTATCTTGGGTATGCATTATAACTCACATCATCTTCCAGCATTCTAAACCTTCAGCATTGGATTAACGAAATGCTAAGTTAAGAAATTGGATCTGCTAAAAGTCAAGACTTGCTTACTTGAGAAAATTGAGTATCTGAGCTTCTAGACAATTGGCATTCAATCTCATAGCGTGAAATTGATGGCAATTTGAGCATTGAAGTGTTACATACTGTTCACTTCTCTTTTCCTTGACTCACTTTATATCTCACTTGTCCTGTAAGATCGCCAGAAATGATTGTCTGAATCCTTTTCGATCACATACCACTTCATGATCTTAACTGCCAAGTCGATCCCCGATCCAGCAATATAACTCAGTTCAACGTGCATTGACAAATTAGTGAACTATTAAATAGTTATGTCGTGGTATTTGCATCAACGCGCGCGCGCCAGTTGGATAATGTTATTCTTTTCTGATGCTGTGATCCAACCTCAAAGCCTAATTAATTGGTCACTGAAGAATCATGAAAAACTTGAGTGAAATGGAAAGGTCATCTCATGGTTCTCCACCTCTTGCCCCACCCAAGAGCAAAACCAAGAAGGGTTATTTGGTCAACTGAAGAGCTGTGAAAAACTTGAGTGAAATGGAAAGGTTCATATCATGGTTCTCCACCTCGTGCCCGAACCAAGTGCAAAACCAAGAAGGGTTACTTGGTGCTGGTCAAAGTGAAAGATTTTAATGTTAAGTGGACAATAAAATAAAGATTAGCATATCATAGTTTCTGCATGTCTGATATATTAAATACTCGCCAACACACACGTACAAAATTTTAACATTAGAAACCAAATATACTTCTTGCAACTTTCTCATTCTTCAGTTTTGTTTCTATAACTTCTTTCCCCTTCCATTGTTGGGGACATCTAATATTTGAATGGAAGACATTTTCTTGAAAGAACATCGCTGCCAATTTGCTCCTGATGTCTGCACGGGTTGCTTCCTTTTTAATTTTTGTTATTTTCTTTTTGGATTATTAAGAGCAACACCACGTTGTTATTCCCCTTGGGAATTGAATGTTTATTTTTTAGTGTCTGGATATTTTTTCTAGGATGTTCACAAGCTTTATCAGTCATCTGATCTCACAGGTTTGATGGCTTTACGAGTACTTTCCAGGATAAACTTTTTAAAGGCTATGATATGGAAATACAGAATCAAATATTCTATACAACGGTCTGTTCTTGTCTTCTTAGTTTCATCGGTAAGATCCCATTTATTGGACTTTGGTGACATGCCTTTGCAACTATTAAGTTTGTATTTGGTAAACATCTGAGAAATTCGCTTTACATTTCCAGAAGATAATATGCTGGACCATTTGGTTGTTCCAATGTCTTCTTGCTGAGCATGATAATATCCAGTTCCAGTCTATACCTGCCTGTATGTTTTTCATGTGCACCATGGAGGGAAGGGTGTGGCTATTATTTTTAGGTACATCATTGTGGTTACTTTTTACATAACACTGTCAAAGAGTAATAATTCTTTAAGTTTGTCATCAAAAAAATTCTCAAACACGCTAATAGATTCCAAGATTCAGTATATTTGGCTTTGAAATAGTTAACTTATATAAGATTTTGAGTATTGATATCATTTGCACCCAATTAAGTTTCCACAATAATTTCAAAACATATTTATGCATTTTTGTTTACATGATTGAGGATTATACTCTAGCAGAGACATCTGCAGACAGTGCAGGCTACAGGTTATATCAAATTACGTCCCTGCTTGTGGTATTTTGTTATAATTAGTTTGTGCTGCAGGTACTAGTGGTACAAATACGTAGTGTTATTTGTTTATGAAGTATTTTTGGTGCCACGCTTCATACTACTTCTGATGTTTATCTAGGTTATGTTCATCATGACTAATATTAACTGGATTCTGCTCTCTGTTTCCATGTAGGTCTAATTTTACAAGGCAATCTTCTAATGGCGATAGATTTTGTATCCCGCCATCATTACTGTTTCTTCGATATTGCTCTGCTTTCAACTGTAAGTTGTCCAAGTAGAAATTGATTTATTTAAACAACTATCCTGGTTTCACAAGTATTTGTGCTGCCAACCCTTACTGTCACTAAAAGATGCATATCATGAAGCCCATTCCCTTTTACTTTTGAAGTGGGAAAAATGGGAGGACTAAACTGATTGTGGTTTTGGTTGCAGGTAGCAACTGCAAGTCAATTTTTTATTTCTTATACGATCCGCACATTTGGTGCTCTAACATTTGCAACCATAATGACCACAAGACAGGTATTAAGAAATACTATAAGAGTTTGAAAATTTGATCTTCTTCCTTCTAAACTGGCCATGTGCACAAAACTAAAATGTGGTGTCTTATTAAATTTGTGTAGTTGGTGAGCATTTTGCTGTCATGCTTGTGGTTTGGCCATCCTTTGGGCTGGGAGCAATGCATTGGAGCTGTAAGCATCATATTCACTCTATTGGTTTTGTAAGCTAAAACTTCTTTACTTAAAAAAGAAAGAAATATCTTAGTTTGATTTCTTTTTATCAGGTTATCGTCTTTGGATCCCTTTATGCAAGAACCTTCTTGAAGACTAAACAGAAGTCGCCGTCATTGGAGATGACTGAAACTAGAGCTTCAGGTCCTTCATAAGGAAATCTATTATGAAGTAAGTTGTGACCATCGGAATAAGTGAATTGAAATAGCTCTCTGCAACTTCGATGCTGCTCGGAGAAAGATGTAATTAAACAGAGGCATGAATGGGATTTCTTTTTGCAGAATTCCAGATGGAAGGCTACCTTGCTGTTATTGCATTACAACCTGCATATGAAAATGGCATATGCAATGGAGCAAGATTTTACAAGCCTTCCTCAAATCTTTGCATGTTAAATTGCCACCTCACTAAGCAACAGAAGTTCTATGATCTTTCGTTCAATTGACTATGGACTTCTTTTCCCACTTTTGGTACTTCAAAAAAGATGTATAATAGACAGTATGCAATGCATACTTGTTTTCTCTTCAGCAATTAGGAACTGTACAAGTAGACATCAGAAAATGCATGTGTTGTGGCTCTAACCTTTTTCAGCTTTAACACATTATCAGCTGGTGGCTTTCACTAGGATCATTCATACGAGTAATCAACGTGTAAATTTGATGAAGTGGAACATGACATATGTATCAAATCGACAAATAGCATGTTTGGCCAAGCTTCTCCAAATTCAAAAGTATTTTTTTGCTTTTTTTCAAAGTTGAAGTGTTTGATCAAGCTTTTAGCAGGGACGGCTCAACAACCTTGGGGCCTAAAACCAAAAATATTAAAAGGCCCTTAACCTTCTTTCATAAAACACATAAACTAATGAGACCAAAAAATTCATGACTTTGGTCTAGCGTGCAGTGCATCATGTGCGGGTTAGACGCTCGTCAGATTCTTACAGAGGAATGAGTTCATTATGGATCGGGTTTCGTACTTTGCGCCACTTGACCTCGAAAGATTTCTTTGTTTAAAAAGATGAGAGACAAAATAATTGCTTTGTGATGTAAGAATCAATTAAATATGATAAAAAGAAATAGCTAATTCAAAAAAACTTAGTTAAAATTAAAAAATAAAATCGTCAGAAACATATAAAAGAAGAGTGTACGTAGAGGAATAAAAATTAGAATTGATGAGAAGCTAAATACACTAGGAGTATTTAATTTAATGAGAGAAAATTTATCGTTATTTAATCACTCACCCGTACAACCTCAACCAAATATTTTTTTAAAAATAATAAAGTTTGAAATTTTATTAATAATAATTGCATAAATTATAATAATAATAATAATAATAATAATAATAATAATAATAATAATAATAATACATTACTTATTTTTGGGGCCCTTAATATTTGGGGGCCTAAGGCAATGACTTCCTTTACCTTACCTTAGGCCACCCCTGGCTTTTAGAAGAAGAAAAAAAATGTATTTTTGAGTAGAAACAGAAGTAATTTTGGAAAAGTAGAAAATTATAGTTTCTCCTTAAAAACACTTTTTTGAAAAATATTTTGAGAAAAATAACTTAAAATCACTTATTAAAAGCTTGATCAAACACTAGTTGTTGCTCGGAAGTATTTTTTAAATTTATTGGCCAAACACAAACTGCTTCTCACCAGAAGTACTTTTGAGAAAAATATTTTTGAAAACTTGATTTGTGAAGCTTGGCCAAACAGGCTAAAATTGTACGTTTAGAACTGTCATACAATGGGGAAAATGATTACTACAAACTGTAGCTGAAATAACACGAGTTGCACCATGTTATTTGACAACTTTAATGGTGATGTGGTTGATCACATGAAAAATGAGACATTACACTTGATGTAACATTGTAATTCATGGTAAAAGATGAGTAGCAACTGCAGAAAGATTTCTTTTGTTGACGCATTTTATTGTTAGAAATTTAATATATTACTGTGCGCGAGCAAGTGGAAAAGAGAACGAAGAGAGGCACGAGTAATTGGTCTGCCATCGGAGAAAGCAAACCCAAAAGAAGTAACAAAAAAGTATAAAAGGGGGATAATAATTAACAATTTGTCTTGGAAATGAAACATCTTAATTTTAGATTACAATCGATATTTGTAACTACACGAGGGCAATTTTTTCAGGATTTAACAACCAGTTCCAGTTTTAGTTTGAATACAAATTGATAACCAAGTGGCTGTAGTTTAGTGGTGAGAATTCCACGTTGTGGCCGTGGAGACCTGGGCTCGAATCCCAGCAGCCACACTATTTTTTACGATTATAATGATTTTTCTTTTTCCTTAAATGCTTGTTTTACCAGATTCAAGACTCCGACCCACTTATCAGCCTTATTCAAGAGTGATATTCGTATTTATTAGGTACTTTGGGAAAAAAGTTGAGGCTTCAAAAATATGTCATTTACTACGGTATAGAAAAAATAGTCTGACACCTGATTTTATTTTTACCATAAATATTTGGTTAAAGTTTCAAAGATTGATAATAGTGAACTCTCAGAGCCTCTTTGGAAAGCCACCTTGAAAATGAATTTGGGTGTAATTACACAGCTTGGTATATTTGTTTGGTCAAGTAATTACTTGATCTGCATGAAATTGGGTGTAATTGGAGAGATATAATTACACTCTCGAATTCTCAAGGGGGAGATGAAAATTGATAGTAATTATACTTTGTAATTACAAGGTTGCTTTTTAGTTTCTTTCATTTTTGTTTTTATTTTAATTTATTTTCTTTATAACTTTTTATTTCTATTTTTTAAATTTTTAAATTTTATTTTTACTTTTTAATTTCTTTTGAAATTTTAAAATATATTTTTCTTTGTACATTATTTATCGTTTATTTCTCAACCTTTACTTCTTGTGATTCCATGTAATTGCTTATATTTTATTATTCTATTTTTTTGAAACTACACCTCCTAATATTAGAAATAATGAGTCATTACAAACTTGGCATATAATGAGTGATGCAATTAAAGTGAAATTTCGTTGTTGAATGCGGTTATAAGCTTATTATGTTTCCTATTCTTAAATTATAGTGGAACTTACTATTATTATGTTGGAATTTGACATATGTTAAACTTTTTTTTTTCGACTTTTGAAATTGTGTTATATTTATGGTTCCAAATTGAATTTGCTTGTTTCAGTAGTGTTGGCTCACATTGCATGTTGTTCATTTTTTAGTTAGAATTGATAGATTAGTTTTGTTAAATAAATATTAATTTATCTTATCAAACATGAATTCCATGATGNATATTATTTTTACGATATTAGTTATAAATATATACCAATTAATGTATATTCACGAAAAAATATACATCTTAAATACCAAATATAATATGACTTATACTTATAAAAATTTATAGGCATATATTTATTATATTAATTATTAAGTTTTGATAATTACTTCATTTAAAATTTAATTTAACTGTATAATTACACTTGTGCAACCAAACAATAAACTTGTAATTACACTGTAATTACACTATGACAAACAAATATGTCGTCGTAATTACACAACTGTGTAATTACTAGGTTGTGTAATTACTACCCTAATAATTACACCAATTCCAATTATCTTGTGGTTTTCCAAACATACCCTTAAAGTTTATTTAGTCATTTTAAGGAGAAGTTAGATGAGTAAATTTCTTTAAAAGAACAAACTTCAGCTTTTACTTCTCAGCAAATCGAGAAACTAATCAAAGAAATTTCATCCCTGTCAAATTCAGTATTGGTTTGCACGTCTCAATTGCAAACAATATAAAAAGGAATATATAAATAATAAAAAGAAATGAAAACGTGGTTTGATATACATATATAAGATCGAGAGTACAAATAAAATATCTCCAAAGATTTTATATTACATTAACAAATCCTTCTGTTCTAGGTAATAACTAATGTAGTAGAGGAGTGGAGCTTTAAGAGGTTTTGAATTTAAATCTTATGGAAGTACGAGGAAAAAAAAGTGTGTGCTTTGTATATCTTCTAATTTAGGTGTAACCAGCCTTTAAATATTACCGAATGTACAGATAGTATGAGCAAAAAAATTGCTTAATTTTGTATCAGCTCATAATCAGTAAACAAATTATTTCTCAATTTTTTCCTCTAGTATGCTCTTTTTCTTTTTCAGTTAAACGCCTCTACCAACAAGAGTTGTAGTGAAGTGATAAGTACTCCCTTATCTTTAATCAAAAGTCTCGGGTTCGAGCCCTGAGTATGAAATCGCCTTTGTTAGTGAGCGTTTTATCCCCTAATATGAGATTTTTCAGAGCGAACTAAAATTTAGTCAGGTCCTAATACAGATACTGTACGCCAGGTGAGGAATAAAAAATAAAAAATAAAAAAGTTAAACGCCTCTACTACTACCAGACAAAAAAAAAAAGTTTCTCTCGCCAGGGAAAGCAATCACTAACCTATTCTATTTTCAGTATTTTGTTAGTTTGGGCGACTCCTTCCACTAAGATATTGGAGTAGCTTGCTACTATAAATTATTGTCAGCTGACTTATTTTATTTTTACGGAAAAGGGTCATAAATAACTTTATACTATTAGAAATGGTTCAAAAATGCTCTTCATTCACTTTTTGGCACAAAGATGCCATTAACCTTTTTTTTAATATTAAAAGTGCCCCTTGAACTAACGGTTGATTGTGGGGTTTTTTGCAAATCCACATGGCACTCTTTGATTGGTCAATATTAAGAAAAAATAATTAGACCCGACCCACATATTCTAATAGGATTCTTCAACTCTTTCTTTTCTCTTACGGTTCGTTACTTAAATTTTTCTTTTCTTTTCTTCCTTTCAAGTTTATTATCACAATTCCATTTTTTGCTGAGTAAAAAAATTTGTTCTTCTAGTATAAGTATTAATTGACATGGTTGTATGCTTTTTTTACCTAAAAATTGGTTCCATTTTTCAAGTTGGTGTTACTGTTTTAAATTAATGTTTGGTTCTTTCATGACGTTAAAATTGGTTTCATTTATTGGGCTAAAATTCTATAGTATATCTTAACATTTCTAAAGTTGTTATTTTAAAGTTAACTACCTGCATTTTAGCAACGAAAAAGCTATAGTTTTTGGTGTTAAAATACTGATCTTGACACTCACTTTAATGACAAAAGCTAAAGTTGCTTAATGTTGACCAATCAAAGAGTGCCACCTGGATTTGCAAAAAAAAAAAACATACAGTAATCTGTTAGTTCAAGGGACACTTTTGACCCTAAAGAAAACGTTAATGGCATTTTTGGGCTAAAAGGTGGATGAGGAGCATTTTTGAGCCATTTCTAATAGATTAAGGGCATTTATGACCCTTTCCGTTATTTTTATGTCAATGTAATATTTTAATATTTAAGTTTCTTATTATTGTTACTGTCTTTGTTGAATTTTGTAATCATTCTATTTAAATTGCTATAAATGATATATTTTTATATATTCAATTATATTTTAACACGTTACCTTAAATGTGGACCTAATTTTTCTCATCGTTAATTCGTGAAATTTAAACTCATAATATCTTTTTCATCATATACCATATTGATTTTATGATCATTTCATAATACACTTAAAGTTATTAAGATTGAGACGTTTCATCTGTATACGGGTAAAATCGGGGGCAATGTCTACCCCGATGAGAGAACGACGGGAGAGCACGGAGCCGGGAGATTGAATCTTGGTCAGAGACCCCTTGTATCGAGACCCTGGAAGA